AGGGTGACCACAACATTTAATGTGTATGTGTGGCATTGGTAACAGAGAAAACACACCACCTGGAATCAGTCACAGTAACTGGATCGATTTTTAAGGAAACGCTACTTTGTATCAAGCTAATCTGATGAACCTCCATTAACAACTCCACCCTGGCCTTCAGTTGGGTCTACAGTGAGTGAGAGGAGAACACCTTGTTTGGGAATCAGTTTTCCCAACGTGGGACTGCAGCTAGCTTGGCGTAGATCCGATGTTCAGGCGCAGGAGACAAGTTAGACCCATTATTATCTGCTACCCCAAAATGTCACTCTACTCCCAACTTCCTTAATTCGTGCAGCACGAGAATTTACTGTTTGTCTAAACTGAAAAAAACAAACAAAAACAAAAACAAAAAAAAACAGCACACTTTAAATCTCTGCCACTTATCTGACAGAGACGATGATTACAAGTGAGACTTTAGCCATTGGTTGCGCACTTAGCTTACAAATGGAACGCAGTGGCTGGTGGGCTTTCATCTGTCACTCTGGTCTTACTGTTCTGGGCAGCAAACGACGGCGGTAATGCTCATTGTTGCAGACACAAGTATCGGTGTCTGCAACAGTAAGCCACGAGGGGAAGAGAACATGAGCGGTTTAATTTGATACCGATGGTACAATGACATCCTTTGGCAGGTCCACAAAAGAAAGCCTTCTGCCCGCCGTCTCGGGCCGTGTGAATGGCATTGTCACGGAACGCCATCCAGCGAGGCCACGAGCACGATTGACTGCGAGCCCAGCCCTGTGTTTTTATACAGTGTTATTGTTCTGCAAGGCCTTTCTGACAAATGGCAGCGCGAGTGAACACACACTGCCGTTTTGTGTTACTTTACAGCGCCCATGAGGCACTTGTGGTATTTCATGTCTCTCAAAGCTTCGTACACGTCAAATTGAAGTTGAAGCGACAAATCTTCATAAAAAAAAAAAGAAAAAAAAAAGGGAGAAGCCCATTGAAGAGCCTATTTAGCTACGATTTGCTTTGACCTTCGAACATGCTTAGAGTTCTGTGTTTTATCATTTAACAGATTTAGAGGTGAGGGTAAGCAACGTCCCGGAGGAACAAGCACTCACTGCAACCATCTGAGGAGCGTTGGAGATGGCGGCGGTGATGAGAATTGGCTCTGGATGTGAGCAGGCTGGCTTTCCGCCTGAAGGAGAACAAAAGGTGGATCTTGCCTTTGGTCTCACTATTACGAGCGTGATGGTACATTTGGCTTCTCTCTTTAGTGTACCTCTGTTTCTTTGGGACTGTGGTGCTGTGACGGCACGCCGCAGAATATAATGTACTGAACTTTTCAAAAACCGTCCTCCACCCTTGAGCATTTTGGTGTCTTCCTCTTTAGCGCCATTTCGGTTGCAGCTACTTTTTACTGTTTTGTCTCTGCCACCCTTTAAACGTGCAAAGACTGAAGTGTTTGCCAAGTCTCCTCATCACGATTCCTCAAATTTCATGAAACGGAGAGCGTTTGAACAGCAGTTTTCAATGGCTGCCACAGGTTTTCATTTGGATTTATATCTGGACTTTGACTAGGCCATTTTAAGACATAAATGTGCTTCAATCTCAACCATTCCACTGTCGCTCTGGGTGCATGTTAAGGGTTTTTGTCTTGTCAGAAGGTGAACTTGATTGTAATTCTGGCCTATGCAAATATTATAGATTAGCTTTTTTTTTACTATAAACTAATTATTTGATTTTTGAATACAGTTTTTTACACTGGATTTCATTGATTGATACCAAAAACCATCTAAAATGTTAATTCTGCACCCAACAGATACTTTTTTGGCTGCCTACATGTTAATATCTCATTATAAAGCGTCAATGTTTGCAAGAACGTGGGAAAAAAATTATGACGGGTCTCTTGTAGCTTTTCAGACTTCTATATCTTCAGCTGTTTACTTGCAATTGCACACAATCTGAGTCAAATCACTTCCTCAACCTTCATGTTTCTGTCATTCCTGGACCCACACTCTTGACAACTCTTGATTGAAATGTGCAACATATTTCTTTTTTTTTTTGTTGTTGTTGCTTACTTGCACTGAAACACTGGCGAAATACTGCCTTCCTGCAGCATGTTGCTCGGTTTTTCATCATTTTCTCATAATCTTACTTCTTTTTTTTTTCTTTTCTCCCCCTCTCCTCCCCCGAGGAATTACGCTTGAACCTTAAGAATGTGTTCCACCCAAACTGTGTCAAACTCCTCAGATATGCAGTAAACAAAGCTGGCATCCAACTGCAGGGCGGGATGCTGTGCCATTTGTGCTGTGCTGGGGGACAGCGAGCCGGTTTTCTTTGCAGGCATACCTTTAAAATGTTAATTGTTGTGCTCATTTTTTTATAATCGAGGGAGAAGACTCTTCCCCCTAAATATAGCCGCGCTTGCTCGCATAGACCAGCACTGATTTATATTGCATAGGGAAGACGTTTAAGTCGGCTTTCCCACAGGTCTCTAGCACCACCGCTTTATGCACATTTTAAAGCTACTGCTGAACCTAAAAGCTGCCCAAGAGGGAGTTGTAGAGCAGATCGTATCGGCAAACAAGCACAGAAAGAACCGAGGATAATCTGAAGGCAAGCGCTAGGGCCTTTTCTGTAGTGACTCATTTTATCACCCCTTTTTTTTTTCTGACTCTTATTCTTCCTGATCCCTGAATTTATAAACCTTCACCTCTGAATCCTGCCTTCATCTTGCTCAGAAAGCCTTGTCTCTACATCACTCTAATGGGAGGTGCTTGTATGTTCCCTGTTAGTCAAACCATCCTCGATCTGCTGGATATTTTTTTTTTTTTAAAGGAAGCATGCCATTTGTCTGTGTGCCATGCTGATACCAGCAGGCCTTTTGGATCCTTGCTATCATTTCCTCTCTTAAATTGCCAAATTTAATTGCGGCAGAGAAATGAAAGCCTTATCAAAACTTCTCCCGATGTGGGGCAAACAAATTAAGATTTCAGCCTTTTTTTTTTTTTAACCTTTCTTTTTTTTTTTTTTTTTTTTTACAACCTCTTTCATTTTTATCTCTTTCAAAAGGCCTTGCGTTGTAGTTTAGAGGTAAAAATCATTAGAAATCCGTCTTTTGAACCCAGATCATTTGCCAGATCAGGTGGAAAGCAACCTCGTGAGATTACTGGTTTGTAGAGTTGAATGGTAATATATCGTTTTGGAAGCTGCGTCTGATCTTGGTGCACGGCCAAATGGCGTACAAGTCACAAGCAAACGACGGACGTGTTTTCAGATCTCCACGTTTTGTTTTTTTTCTTGTTTGTTTTTCGTATTCGGCTCTCCGCTGGTCCAGCCGTGTTATCTCAGCAGCAGAGATCTGTTTAAAGAAAGACAGGACAATAATTTAGCACGCTGGCTTCATCAAAGCGCCTCTGATTGCTTTGAAATGTGCTGTGATGTAATGTTTTCCCTCTCCATTGCTGCCGACAGGACACATAAACACCGCCTCTTTCCAATGCAATTCAAGAGTGAGTGTGTCACTCCTTTCCCGTGTCCACGCCACTGCACAAAATTAGTCATCAAATCGATTTTTGTCTCCAGTCGCTGCCTGAGTTCGTTTGTACAATCTGCGAGGGCAGCTGCTTTGTTTCGTGGAAGATATCAGCGAAGGCAATTAGAGTTAAAATAAATATGTAGTGCACAAGAGGACTTAAATTGGTCTTTCCAGCCTAAAACTTCAAATAATCAGTTTGACATAATTTGAATTTTTGAAGTGAGGTCTGACATTGTGAGTTAATATCTGACCTGCAGTAAGTAGCTACTAGTTTGCAAGGGACAAGACCAATTGGGATTTCTACCATCTCAAGAGTTTCATTTGAAAACTGTCGAGGAGCTTGGCACCACCGATCTTTCCGTGTGAAACAAGTGCAAACTTAAAACGGAGCATGTGACATTTTCTCGTCAGAGCAATTAGCTAATGGAAAACATAAGGCTATAAAATTCTTGGAGTTACATATATGGAGCCCACAATGTTTCTGCATTTTGTACAGTTTTACTTTTATATCAGCCAGTTGCCCTCAGCATAAACTTGTTCCTTTTTCAGTACTGTGATTTGACTCATTTCTCAGAAAAAAAGTAGGCAGTGCTGTCTACTATAACAAGCCTTTCACTGAGTGCCTGCTAATGTTGAAACAGAAAAGTCGAGGATGTCTTAATTCAAAAGAAAACTCATGTTAAGTGACCACTTTTACATGAGCACATTTAGATTTGAAAGCTATAAATGAGTTCAGCAAAACTGACATTTGTCAAATTTACACAACGGTTTAACCAACAAGGGCTTTTATATTAACCTTATACTTTTAATAAAGATTGATTTGTGACTGTGTGTGTGTGTGTGTGTGTTTTTCTTGTTTGTTTTAGAGTTTACAGAATAATGATCCAAACATGATGATGATGTTTGCCAACCACCATTAAAAAAATAGGAAGGAAATCAGAGAAATACTATGTATGTATTAAAATATATATACAGATGTATCAAAGAAAATATTTGGATCAGTCGTACAACGTACAGTATTCCTGAGTATTCCTGACCAGACATTTTGATGGAAATATAATGAACACTGTTTAGAATCAAACATATGGGATTAATTGTCTTATTTAGATGGATACCAGCTCATGTTGGTATTGAAGAGGACATGAAACGGCAGATAAAGTTGCGGAGGAGTCGGTCTACAGTACACATTTCAGTTGTAATGATTGTAGAAGTGAGTCGAACAGAAGTAAAAAGCGTCATAAAGAAGAAAATGAGAAAAGATGGCAAAAACAATGGGAAGAAGAAAGAAAAGGTAGGTAGTTTTGTAGGACTTGGCGAAAGAGAGATGATTAGAGGTAAGAGGTAGTCAGGAAATGAAAGAGTTGAGCAGATGAGCAGTCTTCCTAAAATGAAAATAAGATTAAATTCCTCTGATATATTACAGAGACGTTTAATAGCTGATCGTTTTCATTCTTAAGCTTTAATAAATTATCTGAGATTGGCTCGTTTATTTGGAAGGATAGGAGTTTTTTTTTTTTTTTTTGATGTTTCAGTTCACACTCCATTCCAGTTGGTGGCGGTAACGTGCCCCCTTTTTTTTTTTTTTGCCAATTCATAATAAACCCCAAGAGAAGAAGAAGACTCAAGATGACAGAGAGAGGGCAGATGAATTGAACTTGGACCAAAGGCTAGTAAACTGAGAACTACATGGACTGAGAAGTGAACAAACAATGATTCGGCATATTTTTCGTGGTTAAATATGTCAAGGTACGTTTTAAACACACATTTTTCACCTCTATATGCTTGTGCGTTAAAGATAGCTTATTTCCTCTGTTTGGTAGTGACTTGCATTGATGTTGCAAACGTTTTGCTCTGTTTTCCCAAAAGTAATCTGTTGTCTAGCTTATGTGAGGGTTCTTGCCTGAGTTAAGCTAAAGAAAAACCTACTAAACCAGTGGTTTCAAACTCGAGTCCCCAAGCACCAGTGTCCTGCAAGTTTTAGGTGTCTCTCTGCTTCTGCACACCTGGCTCCAATATGAGCTAATTAGCATAGCTCCGTAGAGCTTGACGGCATGCTAGTGAGGCAGTTAGCCTTTTAATCAACTGTGTAGGACGAGGGACACAACTAAACGGGAGGCGGACACTGGTTCTTGAAGACTGCAGATTTCTTTTTTAAATATAGTCATTTCCATATATATTAAAAAAAAAAAAAAAATTTACTAGTTCCAAACTGATTTTTGAATAGAATTAAAACTAAAACAATTTATGTTGGCTGCATTCTCCGACTCTCAAAAAGTAAATCTTGCAGTGTAGACATTGTGTTATAAGCAAGTCCAAAAGTAAACTTGTTTAATGCCAAGTCTGGCCCTTAAAATCCGCTGTCACACATGTTTAAGTGCTTCCCTGCTGCCACACAACTGACAAATGAAAAGAATGGGTGATTAAAGGCTTTGGAAGAACTTGATGGTATTCTGGGGGATTAATGCAATCATTTGAATTTGGCGTGCTGGGAGCAAAGACAATTTTCAAACATGTGGCAGTGAAAGTAGGCCCTAAAGATCAGAATTGAGAACTTATGTTTTAGACCACTTCAATTCAAAGTCAAATCAGACTACAGTTTAAAAAGATTAAAAAAAATATCCAACTTGAATGAATTATGTCCAGTTAATAGACTGGTACCACGACTAAGTTTTGCAAGTTATTCCCTTGACTGTATAAAACTGTTTGAGTTGTAATCTTTTTTTTTTTTTTTTCTTTTTTTTTTGAATTGGGGTATAAAGCAACTGAGTTTCACAGAGTTCTTGGTAATTCAACTTTAGAAAATATTAATTGCTGAATTATCAGTGGAGGAGTCTGAGGAGTATTCCCTGAATGTGTCATTAATTTTAATCAGTAGCAAGCCGTTTATTCACAGTGCTGTAAAAACAGATTGGCTTCCTTACAGATCTCTTCAGTTGTTTTTGTCACACTTAAATGGTTCAGCTCATCAAATTTTAATATAATACGAGGCTGACCTGAATAAATAGGGGGGAAAAAAAGCAAATTTTTAAAAATAATTTCATTTATCATGGCCCAATGTGGGGAAAAGTGTCTGCCTCTTAAAACCAGAGAACTAGTTGCATCTCCCCAGGTCCCGCTATCAAGCATCAAAATTAGTCTCTAATGTTACTGGAGAAATTCTGGGACCTTTTTCTTTACAGATTTGCAGCAATTTGGCCACCCTTGACAAGCTGCAAGCAGGAACAATCGTGCCAGATCATTTCAACCAAATTTGAGTTCAGACCCTGACATAGCCTTTAGAAAATGTTCTCTTGCTATTGAGCTTTATTCAGAATTTTAAGGTCACAGGGTGAAGGCAAAATATTCTCCTTTCAGATTTTTTTGCCCCCTAAGACATTTCCTCGTTCTATTATTTTCAGAAAGGCTTTCAGTAAAGCGGCTCCAGATAATCAATCATGATACAACCTCCTTTTGTTACTGTTTTAAATGCTAGGGATTTTCCCCTTTCGACATTTCTCACTAATGTCTTTTTATATTTTGCAACAACCGTACCACTGCACATTAGACTTCACGAAGCTTTAAAAATGGATTATTTCAACTTATTGTCTATATTGTACTTAGTGTACATTATAAGGAAATGTAGTTGTCAGGCTTGGATAAATATCACTTTTCAGATCAAAGTCACTAAGATGTTTTTGGTTGATCAAGACTCAAAGTTGATCATTTTAACGTATCAAAGTTGGTCAAAATTGAATTGAAATGGTTGACCACTGACACTTTTCATTGAGGTCAACAATAAACTAATTCGTGGCATTTCAGAATAATATAAAATATATATATATATGTTTGATTCAAACGTTTCTGGTGCCAATTCATTAGAATCAACTTCAGGAAGTGTAAATGGGTTTATAAATGATGTGCCTTTTTTTTTTTAAAGCAGGAAGTTATGCATAGTGAGAATTAGCTTACACTCTGTTATTTGCACCGCGTGGTACTCCAATGCATATTCAATATGGGTGAGATTTCTCCAGTTTTGTACTTGTTAGGTCGATTTCACACACACCCTTCCCCTCCCCTACAGGTGTTGTTTTTCCTTGGGGGAGCTGAAAACGTTGCCGTTAATTAACTCGCTGCCGATTCCACACTTGTAGCTCTCTGTCAACACTTCCTTTACAAGAGGAATCTAAACGGTCTGGGAAGCCGCGAGTTCTCACATCTGTGCATGCGCCAGGGTGCGTGTGTGTTTGCGCGTGTGTGTGTGTGTGTGTGTGAGTGAAGCTAAATGGCATCTTGTCGCCCTCGCACCTGCACAGCTGTAGGAAAAGGCATAGGGGTGGAATAGAGAAGTTGACTTCCTTAAGAGACACAAGTCACACGTTTCCTACAGTATAAACTTTGTTCTGTTTAAAAGTGTACAGAATTCCTCCTAATGAAATGAGGCTTTTCTCATCTGTACAGGGATTATTTCCTTATAAATTACATTTTATTTAATAGATTTGCTTTCTTTCAGATGATTCAAGTGCATCTTGCATGTGTTGCCTTGCTAAGCAGAGCAGCACTAGGTTGAATTGGTGCATAATTGCCCCAGGGGTATCGGATGAACATTTAATTACAAACAGAAACACTGGAGGCCAATACAAGCAGACATGACAGTTACCATGTCAGTCAACCGTCGTGCATTTATAGAAATCCAACATCAGTACAGAGACTTTTCACATTGTAATGTAGTGCTTGGTTTAAGTGGTGGGACAATGATCAGAAGCATACCAACAACTCTACCTCTGAAAGGTTTTGGAGTGGCCTATTAAAAGTCCAGACTGAAATTGGACTGAGGCGTTGTGGCATGACCTAAACTGGTCCATTGCTGCTCAAAAACCTTCCAATGTGGCTAATTTAAAACAATTCTCCTGTATCCCACAATGAGTGTGAGTGTTATGAGTATCCCACAAAATGCTTATAATACCACCTAAAACTGTTTAGAATCAAATTCTAATATCTGCTGATTTTTCTCCTATCTCCATCAATGTCTTGGAATTAAATTGATTTCGCATATGTAAGCAGTCTTGCTCTACATCAAATAAGCTGGCTCCCACTTCTAACAGTCCGATTTGGCTCCAGTCCTAAACATTGTTGTTTGAAATGTGCGTCTTTGTTTGGGTGGCTGCCTAAAGGTAGCAGCCCAGTGGGAATCGCTGATGTTCAGTCATCAGAACGGATAGATCAGAGGAGACAGCTGGAAGGATTCAAACACACACACACACACACACACACACAGACACACACACAGACGAGAGTGTCCTAAGGGACGGTGTGCACTATGCCAGGTAGGACAGATCTACAAATGACGCACACATTCTACAGCACACATCACAAACAGGGGCCTTGGGCTGGGATACATATGTAGAACTTGGACTGCTTCAGCTGGGAATGAAAGAGTGAGCTGAGCCAAGAAATCGTGAAACACAGATGTCAGACACAATGCAGAAAAATAAACAAACTGAACCTAGTTTTCAGGAAACATTGGAACAAAAACATGGTTACCACTAATGGTTCATTTTATGCTGTATTACCATTTTAAAAAGCATGAAATTAAAATTTCTGAAGACATTTTATGCAGCTAGGCTAAAAATATTAAATTGCTCTATTAGCAATTATAGCTCGCTCGCTCGCTTTTTTTTTTTTTAATATAACAAAAGGACCCATAGCAACTTAAGATGGTAGTTATCTTTTTTGAAATGCAAGGGGGGAATACAAAACCTTTTTAATGCAGAAATGTGGGTTGTTTCTTTTAACCGAGGACAATGGGCCTCATAAAAGGAATTCCTGTGTGTGTGTGTATGTGTATATATATATATATATATATATATATATGAGGAACACTTCTTATTTTATAACCTTAAAAGAACATTTTGTCTTAATTTGAAGGGCAAGGTCAGGACAAATAAGTTACATGAGTTAGAAGAGTTTGAGTTCCTCTCTGACAAGAGAATCGTGGTTTTAGCTGTGTACGGGCCTTTAGTAGGTTACTAAATGGGAAATCAGCACTATTGTAATAATAGTGACTAGTCATATTTTTCCACCCAGTAAGCAGAATAAGTACTTTGCTTAAGGTCACATCAACATGTTGATGAGAAAAGCTGAAATTGAACTTGCAACTTTCCAACTGCTGGAGGGTTACTTGTCTCACTCTCTCTAAACTTAGACAAAATAGAGCAAGGCCATATGGAGCAAAAATAAAAATATATATTTTCTGTAAAACAATGTAAATTCAAATTAGAAATCAAATTTTTCTAAGACTTTCAGTATTAACTGAAAGAACAAATTAGACTTGAAATCAAATGATTACACGTTTGAAAAATCTCTTGATCACTGTGGAACATTATGAATTGCAAGTAAAAAAAATAAATTATTTTGTTACTTTGAGTATAACTTTACACTATTAGTTGCAGTCTCATCCTGTACAAAGAGCTTGAATAGTGGTGCCCCTAACTTGTGCTTCGTTTTTGTTTTTTCCCTCGATAAAATATTGTGCTTAAAGCTTACAATGCACTAATATACTAAATTAGTATATGTGCTGCCAAATCCTTCTGCCACACTTTCCATCAATTTGCTGATGGGCCTGTGGACATCACAGTCGGTTAGAGAACATAGTATGGTTGAATTTATGTTCTGCACTCAAAGTAGTAAAACATTACGTTCTTCTTTATTTTTATTCACATTTGTTCTTTGGGTGGACTTGTACTCTGCATGGTTACAGGAAAAACAAACTCTTCACTATATGTTGAAACCCACAAGGTTTCTGGATAATTCAGCACGGGAGCCATTCATGAAGAGGATCAGACTAGATCTGATTTTCAAGAGCCACCTTCACATCCTGCTGAGACCTACAAGACTGCCACCGCATCCACCATGACGGTCAAGAACAAGGAAGCTCAGCCATGGCTGGACATGGAGCATAATCCAAGGTACAATGTTAATTCCAACATAAAGAACACTGCAGCAACTAAATTGTATGAACATTCAGTTGCTGCACCTGATTCAGTTTTACACAAGACAGTAAATGAAGTCTGCTGCTCTGTGATTAATGCATGGTACAGTGGATTTATATCATTTCTCTACTGGAATGTAATGTAACAGCTGTATTTACAAGCAGCTAACATCCATGTTATTCAGCATTTAAACAAGTATATAAATATATTTCTAACTGTTCTGAAAACTATATTACCTTCATCAACACTTGTTTCAGTCTTGTTTTTATTAATCATGGCTCATCCGAGTCATTTTCTGGCTCAAACTATATGAATATAAAATTGAGATCCTTGAATTTGCAAGTTCCCCGTCCAACTGCCTTCATCTACCTAAACAAAAATTCTTTAGAATCTGTCCAATTAGTTGTTCAGTGTAAACTTCATTAAAGCCAAAAAATTACCCTCAAGCACAGCTCTGTGTTTTAGATGAGTGTTTGCGCGTGTGTGTGTGCGTTATGGTTGTTGAAAAGGGAATGCACCTCTTAACATTTGCCTTAATCTTAATCATAATTGTTTCCTTTTTGTAACGGATGAGAAAGAACTAAAGTTTTTGAACCTTCTTATCCAAAATAACAAAATTAAAGTGATATGTAGTTATCGTCTGCTCTTTAACACATTAACTGAGCTTATTAATAATGATCTTTGCATAGCAGTAGAGAAGTAATGGCTATTCGGGTCTTTATAATGTCCCACTTATAGTTTTGCTTTCTCTTCGCATTTTTAAAAGTATAAAAGGTTACAATGTACTATATCAGTCCAGGCTTGCTCTTTTCCCAAGTAATATTCTTGTTTTTTATTTTTTTAACATACTAGACAAGTACTAACATGCTACAAGAAAAAAATAATTATTTTGCTGGTAACTAAGTAATAACCTTCAGTCATAACATTTCAATATATATTTTATAGTTGCATCAAATATTAACAAGTTGTGTTGAGGAATGTTTGCACACATTTGCAAGGCCAGAGAATATGTGCAACTCCTTTATTTCATACTTGCATTTACAGTATTCATGACCTTTGATTTGCATGCTGTGCTTGTCAGCAAAGAAGAAAAACATGCGAGGTTCTCTTTATGAATACATTTAATACCATTTAAAACACACAACTGTAACTTCAACATCTGTCTTGTTTTTGTTGCTATACATGCATTGTTTGCTAGAAAGTTTGCAGGAATGCTTGTAGGAATACGACACAAGTTTGATTTATGCGCTTCAGGTGAGGAACAAGAATTATTAGTTTTTCTAGACTGCCAGAGCCAACAGATAGGTGGTGTAGAACTTAATACCTTAAATGAAAGCCAAAAATCCAAGGTTAAAGTTAAGATAAGCAATGTTCTTAATTACCTAACTGACTTTATTACTAGTAAAAAATTTTTGTCCCATTACCCATTTTTATCTCACTGTAGCCTTGGTAGACATTGTACATACAGAATAAGTATAGGCACCTACCTTGCCATAAAACGTGCTTTTCATTAAAGAACCCAGATGCTTTGATGCTCCCAGATCATTACAATCCAGATAAATCACCTTGAAAAATGCTCCTTTACCGGCCCAGAGGGGGCACTGTGTCGCTGTGCGGGGGGAAGCTGATCCTTCAGGTCAGGTGGGAAACTGCAATACTTATCCCTCCTTACATCACCTCTCCTCCTGACAAAGTGCACCGAGTGCTTCAGGGGCATACTAATTCGCCCGATGTGTATTAGCTCCCCGTGTCTGCCATTCAACACAGTGACAGTAATTTGGCAGAATGGTGGGAATAAGTCTCATTTCTGTTCTGTTTCCGCTCAGAAGCTGGGAAGATCTTGTGGAGGATTAGAACCAGCATAAGGTAGCAGAGATTTAACCATAACCGACAAAAACATAAATGTCCAACTGTCTTAATTGCTGTTAACACTATAGCAGTGATATACACTGGATCATAGGCATTGCAAGAACTAAGTACACCCCATAATTCTATAGTTTGTTAAATCATTCTGGAGGAATTTCAGCTCATTTTTCTTTACAACATTGCTTCAGTTCATGGACGTTTCCAGATATTTGTTTCACTGCACTCTCAAAAGTTTCCAACACAGGGGTTCTGTTGGGTTGAGGAATAAACTTTGACTGGGCCATTCCACCACATTACTGATATGGTCCCTTTTCAACCATTCCGCTTGAGATTTGCGGCTGCTTTGTGTTCAATGTCCTTTTGTTGACCCAGTTTTGACCAAACTTGAGCTTTTGGACAGATGACTTTCCATTTTACTTTAGAGTAAAATAGGACATAGGTTTCCTGTTGAGTCAAAGACTGCAAGATATTCAGGTCCTGCGGTTCCACCATGGTTGACAATTGGAATGACATGTTGTGCTGTTTTTGTTTTAAGTTGAACTATTATGGAACTGTGCAATAAGACCAAACACCTTTACATTGGTCTTATCTGTCCAAAGGACATTATTTCAGATGTTTGCTTGCCATATTCTTATTACAGAGGTGAGCTTGTCTTTAGGAAACAATCCCAATAGCAATATTTGTTTCATCTTTCCATTTTTCTAATTCTCATTCATATATTTCGACATTGAATATGCTAATTGAGGCCTGTAGGAATTTGAATGACTGTGTTGATGATTTTTTTTTATTTATTTGGAGACATTGGATTGTCTGATTCTAGGGTGAATCGTAGGGTTTCAGTGAAAGTTTCATCAGGGAATAATCGACAATTACTAGAAATGCTTGATGGTGGCTAGTGGGCACAACCGGTTATTAAAAGTGGCTCAGGTTGGATTTGATAGCTTTTTTTTTTTTTTTTCCTTTTATAAAATAAATTACTTGAAAATTCGATTTTTTTTAGCTTACCGTTGTTTGATGATGTTTGAAATTAGATGTGTGATAAACGACAAAAACTAAAGAATGAACTCAAGAGGGAAGACTCTTACTACACTTTTTCTTTCCTCATGCAAAGGAACCTTTACATCTGCAGTTTGACGGCTCAGAGTGATAGTGAAACTTTTGCGTCATCAATTTCAGATTTTTAACTGTTGTGCTTTTTGATACTTTGCCGACATGACATTAATTCAGGTGTCAAATGGTTTGAAAAGGACTTTCTAACCTGTAAGAATTGCTTCTCTAACATCACTGTAGATGTTTTTCTACTTTGACATGGTGTTTAATATGCATGATTTACAATCTGACAAAACTCCTTTTATGCAGATGGGCTGATCATCAGCTAATCAAGTGTATTCAACTTTCACCATGTGGCTGCTACAGTCTGTCTTCAGTCCAGTCCAGCCAGGTTGTAGATGGTCTTTCAGGTCAGTAAATCCATCTTTTTTTTTTTTTTGTTTTCCATAATTGCATTTAAATGCCACCTTGTTGTTGATTTAGAGCAACAGCTAAGAGAATTTTTATTCAGAGTATCGTTGTGACCAGTTAAGGCAACTCCTGCAGTTATAACTTTTGAAAAACTAGAAATTTAGCTTCCTAGTGCTAGGGGAGCGATGTTGGTTCCTTATTCAGCATTTCAATTTCAAACATGTTTGTTTCTAGTGCCGTATATAATTCCCAAACATCATTCATATTCACCCTTGAAAGCAAATAGTTCAAGGAAATGTTTCCTTCCACAGAGAAATGCCTCACTTTGTGAACGTTCTTCATTTCAAGAGGCAGCGTCTGACTCCTAAAAAAACAAAACAAACAACAAACCGTGTCACTCCGAGTCTGTGTGGAATTCAATACTTCTTAGAAATCTTTGTCGTTCCTGCTGCAGGAACATTACAGAGCTGATTTATTCACTATTCTGCAATGAGCACATTTATCTTTGGGCTGCTTGTAAAGCTGATTCATTCAAATGATCAGTTCCCTTCTGATGGTTATGTTTTGTTTGCATTTCTGCAGTTTCATATAGCAAAAACATTGAAGGAGGGAGATCGAATTTCAGTATTGATCCATCAAGTCCTGCATACCTTGGGCATGATCTGCTTTACTTGGTGTAGATCAGCTGCCTAATTTAGGCAGAGTTTCTTCTTGGAAATGAGCCCATATAGCTCCCTTCCTGCAAAGGATCTCATTTTTATCAGAAAATATAATTTCAAGATTTCTTAGGCATCATTTCTAAGATTGAAAAATGCGTCAACAATGACACACATTCTAGTAGGAATGTTTGTTAAATGACTCAAGCTTGAGTATTGCCGTGTAAAGCAATCTTTTCACATATAGACATGACAACTACAGCTTTATTGCATTTGAATTACATCATCTGATAAAGTAGTTTATAATAATCAGATTAAAGTAAAAATGATTCATGGTTTCTAAACATTTAAAAAAAAAAACAAAGTGTGTTGTGTGGCATTCATTTTTGTTCTGGCCTATTTATTCTGATACCCCTAACTAAAATAAAAAGGGAAAGGGTTAGAAAAATAGTGACATTCAGTCAGGTTTATGGCTATATATAAAGCCCAAAACTGATTTTAGTTAGAAAAACTGATTTAGCTCATATTATATGGCTGCTTCATTGAAGAAGATTGCCAATGAGGAAGTTTGTCCAGGAGCAGTTCTATGCCAACTGTATTTATTGTACTTTTCTGCTTCCATTGTCTCTGTGGCTCATTACCGCCCCCTATCTGTGCAACACTGTACTTACTAGTGCATTTTATCTGCTTTTTTATGACAGATCAGAAAATCTCTCTCTCTCTCTCTCTCTCTCTCTCTCTGTGTATATATATTTATAAATAAAACGCATTCAATAAATGTGGAACGTCAGCACGCGTAATCAAAAACATCACTCTGCAAAAGAATGCTCTAAAAACCTGGACCTCTTGTTATGACGGAGGCTAAATCTCATAATTTCTTGAAACATTGAAATGAGACTTTGGTAAGGAAAATATTGGTGGTTGGCAATGAATATTGTCATTCCGACATCTCATAAACAGCCTGCATTCTTCTTGTGCCTCCTCTACAATGCCAACACAAATGCTTGTGTGCAACACCAACAAATGAAAGCTAATACCACAATGTCTGGTGTATTTTCCCTCTCAGAAAGATGACAGATGAAAAAGTGAGGGAATGAGAAAACATTCTAGGCAGAGGGCAATGGCTCCAAAACCCAGACGGACCTGGCGCAACCAATCTCTGCTTCACAGGCGCAAGTTGAGGTACGCTGTGGGGAAATCGCCGGGTCTTCGGGGCGGTGTCAAGGGAGAGCGAGTGAAAGGCAAAATGAGAGAAAATGGCAGCAAATGAAGTTGGCGGGCTGTGGAGTATTGTTTCCTCCTGTTCGTTGTAATGAACAGGCCTTCGGAACAGACTGGGGAAATTGGTCCCCAGAGGACCCCGGGCCTTTTTCATCTGTCAGGTGTGTTTGCCACACACATAGACATTCTTTCTCACTAGGCACACACAAACACGCACACCGGCGGACACACATTTGTCAAAACCGTCCGAGTACGCTGACGCACACCCAAACACAAACGGTTGAAAAGCACAGCGGTATTGTTTGTGTACTCTGTGATGTCCATTCAAACTTAACCTTGTATTAGTTCTGTTGATGAAGATGGATGGTGCACATATTGTGTACACATCTAACTATGAAGCATCTACCTTCGTCTTCCCTTATTTCAGAACATGTCTGTGTAGTTAATCTGATGAAGACGAGGTATAGCTTTTTATTTAAGAGTCTTTTGATTCCCTTTTTCCAGTTTGAGGTTATGAATAACTAAAGTAGTTACATTTCCCTTGGTTATATGTGTTTATTTGTGCTGCGGCGATAAATAAAATATTAATGGCATCGTTGCTCCTCTATATATCATGCAGTATTAAATTTATTCACTTAATGTGTTTGCTTTTACCAAGTTCAAGCTTAAAGAGTCCCACTCTTTTAAGAGCTGTACAGTCCGCACAGTGTGCCATTAGGGAGCAGTGAATAGCAAATATAATACGAGTATAAGTGTAGGTATGTCTGCATTCCAGTGGTCCAATAAAATTGTAAGTGCATATTTGATTTGCTGTCACAGCTAGCCAACCTTTAACATGACAGAAGACATTGAATGATGCATAGTATTTATTGATGGAAGACATTTTGACTTGTTAAAAGGTATAAGATTAACATGCAAACATTTTTGAAACACAGTTCTGACTGGATGTTGTTGGAAAAGGACATTTTAAAATTCTTCTCCCACGTATTTTGTTGCAATTACAGCTGGACGTCTGTGTCGCTAACAGTTTTGTAGATATAGGAAGTGAAATTACTGCCCATTTTTCCTTTAGGAAATAGATCAAGCTTAGTCAGATAGGATAACGTTTAAACTTGGTCTCATCTGACCAAATCACATCTTCCATGTTTGCTCAATTCTTTTCATGGCTTGCCATGGAGCACAAACATGACTACTTCTTGCCTCCTTTCAACAATGTCTATCTTCTTGCATCTGCTCCGTAAAGGCCAAATTGGTGGCGAGCACAACTGATAGTCGCCGGGTTGACAGATTCTCCCACCTGCGCTGTGGATCTTCGCGGTTCCTTGGCTGCTTCTCTGATTAATGTTCTCCTTTCCCAGACTGCCTGCTTAGGTGGATGACCGTGGCTTGGTAGATTTACGGTTGTGCCATACTCAATCTATTCTGAGAGATTTGTGAGATGTTCAACACTTGGGATTTTGTTTCATAACCCAATCCTCCTTCAAAATGCTTAGCAGCTTTAACCCTGACTTGTCCAGTGTGAACTCTACAAAGTAGTTTTTTTTTTTGTTGTTGTTCTTTTTTTTTAACTATCTGACAAACGTCCAAGACCTTTAAAGAATAGCTCAATTTCTATTGCAACTTAAATTGAACATAACTGCACCCTAGAGATAAGGTGACCTTCTGAAGGCAGCTAGTTGCAGTGGATTTTATTTAACTGTGTTTGAGTAAAGGGGGGTTAATGAAAACAAAAAGCCTGGAGAAAGACTAACATAATGATTATTCCTAGGGTCTGGACTTTAATGTGTTCATTTCAATTCCATAGATGTTACGCTTTATAAATTTTAATGCTATTAACCACATTTTTAATACATATATATTTTTAACATAGCAAGAGCTTGATCTGGAACTTTTTGTATTGTCGTTTGTTATGCCCATAAGTCTTGTGCACAAGTGACAAACTTTGCAATTAACTATCAATTTTATTTGAGTCCCATTACTAAACAATTTTTACTTCATATACCCATGATTATAATTTTCCAAAAGTCAGTTAATTTAATGCATCCCTGCCCCTTCTAAAACTCTCCAGTGTAAGAGTTAATTTATCCACCAAGAAAAAAAAATACCATTTTGGGGGGGGGTTCGAATTAACCTTAATTGTAGTTGTACTGCGCTTAAGTGATATTGATCTTGCAAATGAAAAAAGTATGTAATCCTACTGAGCAAGGAGGAGAAACTGTAAAAAGTGTGGGTGAGTATCTCCAGTATGAACACCTCTGCAATCCATCAAGGCAGGATGGTAGGTAGTCCCAGATGGCACTGCATGTATGGTGACTGATTGCTGCAGTTGGAAAAAGATGAGACACTCCGTTTAGAAAAGCACTCTTTTTTTTTTCTTCTTTTTTTTTTGTCAGCAATTACTGGTGTCTGTTTTTCAAATCCTGCAGAAAGGCGCATACATTTAAAGCAAATGTGTGTACAAACAGCTATGGTGATGAAGCTACATGTGTCCAATGTGATGAATGTTGCTTTCAGTGTAACACAATTTTAGTACAGTTTCATAATAAATGGCAAAAAAACTAAGATAGTCTGACAGTGGTTTTGTTTGTTAACTAGCTGAAAGGAATCTAATCATCAAACCTACCAGAGGAAAAAAAATAATGTTGCGTTATAATTTTTATCAACACAACAAAAAGAGTCTTGTCATTGCTATTACATTTTATTTGTAATACAAATAGCTACTGAGGAAAACTGCATATTTCAATGTCAGTGCTGTTTAGCCCTTCATGCCTAATCACAGTGAGACTAAACCAGATAGTTGCATGCATTGTATTAAAAGAAATATTTACTTGGCATTTTAGACTGGTTAATTAGGGTCAAATATTGTAGATATTATTAGACTAACTACTTTCACTTTGCTGACCAGTTTTAGCCAACCCCAGAGACTGCTGGTCACATTTTACACCCAAACTTCATCTCTGGATCATGTCATTTCTTCCTCAACAGTGTGATGACAGGATATTACCTGGTTATCTATACTTGAGTAGAAAATTATTTGAAAAGATGAATGTGGCACTTTCAGGCATCTGGAAATAATACCCAATGATTTACTAGGCTTGTGAAGGTCCACAAACATGTTTCTGATATTTTGATTGATTTCATTTTAATTTGCTGATGATGTCATTCAAGGAAACTGTGTTTTAGGATGGTTAGTGAAAATGTTCCCAGGTGTCTCCAGTTCACTCGACTGTTATGCATTAGCTTAGAATCTGTTAAAGCCATGGCCTCGGGCTTCCCAAATTGTTTAAATCAATCAGTTATTGGTAAATCTAAACTTAGGAATTTTAAGTTTAGATTTAAACTTAAAAGAGAAAATCTATTTTGGCATTCAGTTAATAACAATCATTCCGATTACCTTAATTGCCTAAAACAAGAGAGGTTTAGGCAGTGTGACAAAACATTTTTAGTTTTGACACTTTAATCATATCATGTTGAGACTTAATTCAGGAAACAACCACTAGCTTAGCTTTGAGGCATTCCTAGAGATAGACAAATACTGAAAATAATTTATTTTCCCAATATTTTGCAGTAAAACGTTAGCTGCAATACTACTGCTGAAAATTTCAAGGAGAATTTCAGTAACTATAACCCAGGTGGTTCTTTAAAGTCCTGTATCTTACCAAATATTGCATCCAAGCAGTGTTTTGGGGTTGTAGTATTCCACACATTCGATATATTGTATAGCTCCACTCTGTGGTTGACTCCTTATATAGGCTGGCGAGGAAGAAAGTTTGACCTCAGAGGGGCTTTAACAACCTGCTTCCTCTTCATATACAAACACCTGACCAGAAGGGCCCTGCAGTGCTTCCTAATATATGAAAAGGGACTTTGTAGTAACTGAAGTTGTTTCCAGTAATTTCTGATCTGATTGCAGTAATTAAATGGGCCAGTGGAGGGGTGAGAGTTCCGTCCTCACTTTCAGCTCAGTGATGTCCGCCCCCCTTTTTAGTACAGCAAGCACTGAGTCTCATTACAAACAAGGCCAGTCAGCAATGTGTAAAATAAAAAAGAATAAATAAAAAAATATGCTCACTTCAAGACTGGGCAGTGCTCTAACATTTTTTTATTTATTTATTTTTTGCTCCTATTCTCTCTCAACTTGCTCAGCCACCCGTCAATCCCTTAAATGTTTATTGTCAATGAAATATTTAGTGCGAGAGGGGAACCTGTGTGCACAGCTTGCAGGTTTCACCTCACCCTGAAACAATGTGTGTGGGGAAAGTGCGCTCGTGTTGATTTAGATTCAGGACCTTGATGCAACGATTCTCGATAGGTTTGCATGCCCCATCCATGGCCGGGCTTGTATATTAGCCGTGTGCATCTCAAGGTTTGTCTGATTTAATGCAGCTGTCGACATACCTTCAGGTGCTGCCATGTTGTTGCTGTCAGGAGTATCTGCTCTTTGTGCAAATACCGAGACTTTCCCGATTTCTAAAAATGCCACAAATCTGTCAATCGTATCACGTTCAGTTTCCAAATTTAACAACAGCGAGCCTTGCACTGCGAGCTTAAAGGGATTTAGGAGGTTTATACCCTGGAGTTAGCACAAATTCTTGGTGTGCCAGAGCCAGTCATTAGATGACTCTTAAGCTGCTCAAAACTCACCAGCAAATAAATACTTGTAATTTGAACAATGAACATTTTATGTTGGGATTAAACTTAAAACTACAGTTGTGGATCCCTCCAAGTATTGTTGCCCAGGACATTAAGGTCCTGGGCAACAATGGACTGCAATGGACCAGTTAACCCCATGTACTGATGGATTCTATGTATTTTGTGGGGATTTTATGTGCTAGACCAACACAATGTAATCCCAGTGAAATTAACTGTTTTTCATTTTGTGCACAGAAATGCATGTTAACCATGCATCATGATCAGCTGACCAGTTTCCCTATTGGAGAAATGCATAGCGGCAAC